GCGACTTACACAATCTTGGCACTATGCTATACCAATAACGTATTGACCGGTATGAGCAACCTAACGTCTTATTTGGTCTTTTTCCCTGACGGTTGAGTTCCAGAATACCATTCTCAGCCTCCAGGATATAAATCGTTTATTTCAAACAGGAAACCCTGTCGACTATCTCTAACCACCATCTAATCTCAATATATAGTGCACCCAGTGTCGAGTCACCTAGACTGGTGGCCACATTGCAACATAGTCGATAGCAATCAATCTGCACTATATAAGGACTTGACACACATGACATTGATCACCACCCAGTGATCAATCGATTGTGATACTTAGTTTATATATCAGCCAAATAGACTGCTTTATACCATAAAATAGGAAATAAAATTTGTACAAGATCAACCCAAAAAGTGGCTATGAACGTCGGAGTCTGTAAACAATTGACTGGGCATAATTTAAGAACAGTGAATCGTATTATAATAGTCTACAGGCCAAAATGAAGCTTACAATAACAAGAATATGAATGAACATAATCTAGTTACTGAATAGTTAAACAATGAGAATATATGTATAATATTAGTCTATTAACAGTTCTCAGAAGTTACGTATAAATTAATCTTCACTATGATATAACAGTACTGACGTATATTATTTTGTTGCTAATACAGCAATATTACTGGACAACAAAACCAACTAGCATTATGTAAAATGCTTTATATGAACCGATTAAACTAAAAAGGGATTTTCGTCTTCTGTTAGAACAGTTACTATTTTATAAATACAATTATCTCTTTGTAATGTTATGTACTGCATTTTCAAAATTGTATCCCAGTTTAATTAGTTTAGGTTCATGTTTTCAACGTAAATAGTGAAACTTCATCAGTTGAGATGGCTGGGACACGTGTTACGTGTGCCCAACCACCGACTACCTCGATGTGCGTTGTTCCATACTGTAGGAGTAGGTCGGAAGTAAGCTAGGGGCGGCCAGACCAAAACATGGCAAAAGTCCATGAAGTTACTGACAAGTGGACTGAGCTATACTCAGAAATGTAGACTACCTGGTTGGGATCCACGAGACGATAACAACCGATGGTTAGAGACCTTGAATGACATGGCTCAAAATCGTTTGCAATGGCGCAGGTGCATTCACTCTTTGCGTTCTCCCAAATTTTGATCTCCTTATTCCTCCTTGTCTCTTTTTTCTCTTTGCAAATTTATTTTACTGGATTATACTCCTTGAATAACATCTTCAAACCCTAATGTTTCCGATTACTGCTTATACTTTTACTACCTCTACCACTACAGAATTTGAATCGACAACTGCATTTCTGTGCTAATGTGGTGTGGCAACTCGAACTGATGTACATAACTACGAAGTTCTACGTTGTTGACTGACTGAATTTTAACCGGTAATTTTCATAGCACAGTGGAAAGTTATACTGAAGTAACTAATCAATAACTGATTCGAAATAAATGTTAAACTGAACGATTATCACATTAGATTTATCGACAGTATTCATACTTCTAATTACTTCTTTTCAAACCTCAAAACATAGTTGAAAATTAGGGAGCAAATCTGCAATTTTTATTTCTAGAAGATACGCATCAAGTAATCAAGAGTAATAAATTAGTGCTGGTTCAATAGCTTATATTCTCAGAGAGTCAGTCTTAGTGAAAATGGAGCCTAGTATATATATGCGTTACAATACCATATTAGCATAGTGAGATCAAAAATAACCAGATAAATAGCAAAAGAGAACGAAATAATATACTACCAATGATAATGAGAGAGGCTAAAAGTTGATGTTTATTGCAGACGAAAATACATTAATGAGATGACAATACAAAATATCTCATAAACTAAACTCCTACATAATTCAGTATAGGGGTTGTGGAGATTAAGTTTTTAATTGAGATCATGGACCGATTGATGGACGGCCGTTTCGTCCTATTGTGGGACGCCTCAGCAGTGCGCATCCACGACTCCGCTCGCGGGGTTCGAGCCCATACATAAATCGTTTCACGTATAGCAGGTCACATACATTCGAGTTTGTTGTGTAAGTCGCTTAAATATTACGATGGTTCATTCATTTCCCGATGTATACATAATCGTATTCATGAACTCGTTCAATTGCTCTTCTACACTCGCATAACATTCTGGCTTTGTGTGCCTGTGGTTTTAGTGATATGTGCATGGTGCAATAATAAACGTAATCAGCGCCTCGTATTCGTCCTCTGATTTATATACCACTGGGCATTATCTAGTAACGGTTTTATCGTATACCAACCGTCGCGTACGTCTATAGGTAGTACCGCAATTCAGATCCAAATACGAACGAGCTGTGACAACTAATCAAATTACTCACCTAACCAAATTTACCAGAGATATATTTCTATTAAGATCACTACTATGGGTACCTGAACTGGATAGTGATTGTTGTCAGCTACATAGAACCTAACATATATGCATATTACTACAGCGCGATTAGATTATCAAGATAAATCTCAGTCTAGTAGAGGTAGTAGTAATATCAGTGGTATTCAATTTGCATATTGTAACTGACGACCATGCGTTAAATCTTATTTACCATCCAACTAAGCTACTTCTTCGACCATCCGCTTTCATGGTCCAGAAATGGGTTTTCGAACTGAGGGTTTATGAAATAACTACTGAGTGGCTAAAACGCACTACATGCAGATATTCTATCACGCTATTTATATTTCGAAAGACTGCCCAGTTTGACAATTGCATGTATGTACGGCAGAAACTGTAGAGGATACTCGTAAATCTTTTGAAACCGTTCTAAGTGCGGTGAAACGAGGTTAGAATGTTCAATGCAAGAAGTTTCCTGAGTTTTACAAAAGGGGAGAGGACATTTCACTGGAGCATTTTGTGCTTTGACAAAAGAGTAACTACTCTCTCCACACTTAGATTCGTAATATTAGACGACCTTCACTTTACCTATCGGATTACAAAGAACAGAAAATCTCTTACTCATCAAACTTGGTGACCTGCGAAAGATGCTGATACAAGTCAAAAATCGATAAACTGTCCTGCTTGTTTACATGAACTATCGTACAATAAACCTACTTGGAATATTCGGCTTTTATCTTATGAATCGTGAAAACGTAATAATGCAGATCACTGTGTCCCATTTAAAAACTCATATTATGCCTTAATTACTGATACATGTTCCATAAGTAGTACTCACAAACAGTCCTAGCGGAAACTTTACGCAAAGAGGATTGATGATAATTGGTAGTGAAGAGACACTCAATATATTAGTAAATGATGATAAAACAGTTTTCATTGAAAAAGATTTTAACAACTGGCTTAGCGATATTGGATCCGGACACCTAGTTATAGCTCCAAGGCATCCGCAGTCCAATGGTTTAGCAGGAAGTTACGTTAGTACACAAGACAGTGTTATTACATCAGTAATCTAGAAGAGCTAGAAAATGCATCGGAAATTTCTTGCTTCAATATCGTAATGTAGAATATTTTGAGAATTTACGACAGCCCAGCTAAACTCTCTAAATCTCGCATAATCCGAACTCGTATAGTGAATAAAATATCATCAGAAGTAGTTTTACCGAGGAAATAACTATCGACCATCTACGGGAATTATAATTCACAAAATGAGTAGTTGCATGGAAAGAATTTTCGGTTTGAATGACCATTCAGGTCTCATCAGACATATAGACCAAGTGAAGATTAATTACGTAGGTGATTCCAACTTAACCGATCATTCTCTAACCGATCTTATTTTAAAACTTCAGATAGATAGTTTCAATTTTAATTCTTCTGGTTAACGTTTCTTTGGCGAGTTAGTTTTCTACGGGATGGGGCCGCTAACCCTATGCCCAACCCTCCTCGTTTGTCCGGGCTTGGGACCGGCAGTAGCCCCAGAGGGGCTCCAGGTGGAGTTTAGGAAGAAGTAATCCTAACGATTCTTCATTATTAATTACTCCGAATTTCAGACAGACGAAAATGAAAGTCAGAATACCAAATAATTGAGATATGAAAGAATTACAAATAAACCAAGACTACACTATAGACATATAACGAGCCAATGTGTGGCAGTTGTGATGAATAACTAGTACATTTACTGTACAAATATTTTATAATATTCTATAATCTACTATAACAGTACAATGAAGTTTCATTATGCGTACTTTAAATTCGACTTCTTGTCGAAATCTTAGCCTTAACAGGATTAAACTATTTCGAATTCACGAAAACGTCAGGCAAAGACAATTTGATTCGAGAAGATCAAATTCACGAAATAAAATAGGAAATTTTAAAAACTAGAGTTTGAGGAAATTCAGACGGTAGACGCATCTGTGGCACTGTGATCAGTTGCACGCTGTGTTATCTAATGTCTCCAACCATTTGTCAGGATAATTGCAGAACACCAAACTAGCTAGTCCCCATCTGCCAACATGGCTCAGATTAACATTCAACGAATTTATAGACTAATGCCAAGTCTTGGTTGGTGATTCCTAGCTTCTTTTTAACCTTCCTCTACATTAATAAATATTGCATGTTGAAATAGAAGATACTTAGGCATGCGAACCACATATCGCAACCAACTCAATAGACAAGGATTCACTACTTCATCAACTGCTTCACTCTATCTACCAAACGAACAGTAGATCCTGAACCGTCTTAACCTGGATCTACTTTAATACGGTCGAATTACATAACTTTTTTATTATACAGAAAACTATCAATATACTTACTGTATAATTAAAATAATGTTCAAATTAACTAAGAGTATCTGTTTTTTATGCAGTATTATTTTATCAGGCACTTTACACCCTTCTCCTCAATTACCACTTGTCAATAAAGTAACAATCACATAAAGGAAGGTGACGCTTATTGCTGAAATTAAGTAAGTAATAATAGTAATAGTAATAAGAATAAGAATATATAACAAAACTACGAGATAGGTAATAAACTATTTACATAGAATATATATATATATATATATATATAAACAGTATTATGATCCATGGAAATAATTTTGATATGCTACCCCATGAATACGTCGATTATCTTGAGGTGTCATATTGACATCATTTGGAATATAATAACTAAATGGTTGACGATCAGATTGTTTCATCATAGTCCGTGGAATATTTAACGAATCTTGATAATGATGATGACGTTGACGATGATAATGATGATTTTGATTCAAATCATATGGATGATAATTGTGATGGGATCTCTTGTTTGAAGAGGAAGCAGGCATTGAACAATATGGTGGAGCATTATTTTGTTGGTGTTGTTGTTCTTGACCAGCTAGAATGGATCAATTATACAACAACAATAATAAAGGAAAAAGAAGAAAAAAGGCTGAACAGAGAAAGTAATTATATCAATAAACAAGTTACGTAATCAAGATCACGAAATGATTGATTGTTAATTCAGTGATGGCTTATGTCTATTGGGTGGGGTGGTGGAAATTATTGAGTTTCATAATTTATATCACAAACAAATGTTAAATAGATATTTCGCAAGTTGAAATCATGAGTCAATTGAAGCTAGACCACCATGGAAAACCTGGAAGCACTGGATGGCTGTTTCGTCCTGGCATGGGACTCCTCAGCAACTTTTGAAGTTTCTAAAAAAATCTCCACAAAACCCATTCTGTTAAATAGATAGCCAATGTACACAAGGAAGTTCAAGACAGCTCTTTGTTTTTAGTACGAGACATTCTCATAGCGGGAACCTTCAAACATACCATGATCTAAATTAGGATCTTCAGGTAGCGGTTGAACTTTAGTCTACTGAATCATCTCCATAATTCAGGTGTAAGATAACCAGTGGCAATGAAAGATACTTGGGCGAGACCATGAACCGACAACTAATAGTTTATTTTATTCCAAATTAATGTTCTATAGTATTTCACTTCCGAGTTGTAAAGCTTCCCGATATAGATGGAGAACAACGCAAAACGTCTGGTCCACAATACAGTGGAGCATCGTAAGGAGATGCAGTCTCATGGCAACTGGTGACCAATAAGTGATTCATACGCCATTTGTTCTTTCAGGATAATGGGGCCATGAGCACCATAGGTTTGGAATCAGGGTTTTCCAACTCCCCTAAGTGGATCCTCCGTATCCACCAACCCGGTTAAAGCGTCGGACATTCGCATTTCGTCCTCTCGGTTTCGTAAACAACACTCCCGCCACGAGAATTTAGGGAGTAGGAATTCCCTTGTGGTGGTTTTATGCACATGGTCATGTGAGAGCATTTCGAGAGGGAGAGCTGACTATCCCCACGCTCGACCGTATCAGGTCATTTGTGAGCAAGTACTTCGTGGAAAATCGACACTTTCTAGGTTAAAAATTATATACTTCAAGTGTGTGTTGCACAGCTGAAGCACACAATTTGTATAATCGTAGGATTAAAGGTACTTTCACTCTAAGCAACAATCCAAGCATGTTCGGGATGCGATTCTACCTCTCGAAATGCAAAATGTTGATTCAGGATTGGATTGCATCGATGATAGGGAGTGAAGAAGTTGAGCGTGTCGATCCCTTCACTGATCTTGGAAGTCTCATCAGCTCTTGTGGTCTGGTGTGTGACAAAATCTCAGCACGGATACAGAAGGCTCGACTAGCTTTTGCCAGCTTGCGTCACTTGTGGAGTAGGCGAGACATCCGTCTATCAACCAAATGACGTGTTTACTGCACAGCAGTTCGTTCCATCCCACTTTATGGCAATGAAACGTGACCGGTAAGAGTAAAGGATATTCGTAGATAACTAGTATTTGATCATAGTTGTCTTCGAAACATTGATCGTATATCCTGGGACCATCGAGTAAGTAATGCAGTTGTTAGGAAACGGGTACTAGGTAAGGATGTCAAGTCGATTGATGAAGTAGTGAAACTTGATCAGTTGAGATGGCTGGGTCACATGTTACGTATGCCCAACGACCGACTGCCACGACGTGCGATGTTCAGTGGTATAGGAGTAGATTGAAAGAAATCTAGGGGCGTCCAGAACAAAACATGGCACAAATCCATGAAGTCACTGACAAGTGGACTGAGTCATGTTCGTAGGTGTAGACTATCTGGTTGGGGACCGCGAGATGATAGTAACCGATGGTTAGAGACCTTGAATGACATGGCTCAAAATCGTTTGCAATGGCGCAGGTGCATCCACTCTTTGCGTTCTCCCAAATTTTGATCTCCTTATTCCTCCTTGTCTCTTTTTTTTCGCTTCCCAAATTTATTTCACTGTATTATACTCTTTAAATAACATCTCCAAACACTAATTTTCCTGATTACTGCTTATACTCTTACTAGTTCTACCACTACAGGATTTGAATCGACCACTGCATCTCTGTGCTAATGTGGTGTGGCAACTCGAACTGATGTACGTACGTACGAAATTCTACGTTGTTACTGACTAACTAATTGACTTTCACTTAATAACATACGGAAAACGTCCACAAATTTACTACTAATATTTAATTGAATATCAACATGACTCATGTATTCACATTTGACAGAACAATTAAAACCATTTAGTAAAGAGACAATAACTGGATCTGTAAACAAAACAACAACAACAACAAAAAACACAAACAAAATCTCAACAATAAATATACATTAAATCAATGACTGACTTACATGTAAATAATAATAATTCTTTATATTGTGTTGCATTTAATTTTAAAGCTTTTTCAGCAGTTCTATGATCCATGATACGACAATTATTAATTTTCTCTTCCCATTTTTGACGTAAATCAATTAATTTCTCATTGAATTGTTTACGTATTAATTTAATTCTTTCAGCGCATAAAGATGTTGGCCATGTTGTCCAAAGTGTAATAGCTTCTTGATAAGATAATTTTAATTGAATAGCTTCATCATCTAACCATGGAGCTGATTATTGATTATTTTGTTTTGTTTTGTTTTATTAAAAAAACATACATATAATTTCATTACATGAATATTATGTAAACAATAAAATCTATTCAATTAGACATTAATCAAAGAATTAAATTGATCTTTTCTTTTCAATTCTTATTAGGATTATGTTATATCCCGATGAGTATCATGAATGGTAACTCTTTGGATCCATTTACGCACCAATAACTATGCGTATACTTTTATTGTATAATTGTTAAATAACTAAACTATACATATTTGTGTCCCCCTTATATTATGAGTTTTATTTTGAAATATAAACTATTACACAGGTGGAAATCATGAGTCGATTGAAGCTAGACCACTATGGGAAACCTGTAAGCACTGGACGACCGTTTCTTCCTAGTATGGGACTCCTCAGCAGTGCGCATCCACGATCCCGCAACACACAGGGCTCGAACCCAGGACCTACTGGCTTCGCGCGCGAGGACTTACCATTCTTGAGTTATACCCTGTCTATTAATTACTATCTTCCTTTATTCACAATCTTATTTGGTTAAATCTTGTACAAATGTTGTTTCCTATTTTATGGTACGGTGTGGTCTTTCTGGTCGGTATATAAACCGGGTATGTTTGAAATAAATGATTCATATCACAGAGGCTGCGATTGGTGTTCTGTACTTAACAGGCTTGCCTAGGAAGGAAGCAGGACTGATAAGGACTCTAGACTGCTCGTAAATGTTTTATACGCCATTGGTTCGGTCGATAAATCACTGTTATCTAATGGAGGCGATATCATTACTTTATACATTAATAGGACACAGGGCACAAGTTTTAACAGATTAATCAAGAGAAAAAAATGTGTCAGTGACACAAGTTTTACATGGACTATGACAGAATCGGTAATTAAATTGAACGAATAGATAAAATATTCCTTTTAAACATATTATAAGTTTTCACTATTAAAATCAAAATAATACGTTAAGATGATTGGATTGATTTGTGTCTTTTGTATGTTTATGGGCTGGAATACTGTCTGATCACCCAACCAAAATAGTTAATGCCCAAGCTCTTGACCTTATAGTTTAATCTATAAGACAGCTGAGCAACGTCAAGAAATTTCATGCCATTGTGGCTAGTTTTAGATAATCAGTTAATACGCCACTTCCTTTCTTTTAGGACTCTGAAGCCAATACACACTATCCATTTAGAATAAGGGTTTTCCAATTTCTCTAAGTGAAGGCTCCGTACCCACCAACCACATCTAAACCCATGGCGTTAAATTCTCGCTCTTTCGCTTTTAGAAATAATGAGTACAACTTTTTTGAATAGTATTAGGTAGGATGATATACTATTCCGTAGATTTATCAAAGACAATCAATATTTACTTATTTGAGCACATAAATATTGGTAAAAATGAGCACCAAGATATATAAATATGCCACACAATAAGATAATGTGATTGTGAAAAGATAACGAAAGCATTAATAAGTGAAAAATACAAAAAATAAATAGAATTTAGCGAACGAGAGTGGCATACACTGAGGAAGGTGGTTCCGTTAAGCTAAATATAATCACGAAGGATGTTTTCAGTTACAGAAGTTATCAATATCCATATATTTATTGAAACATATAGATATTGGTACAAGGGGGAACCATAGATATATGCGCCACATAAGTTACTCGATTTTATGTGAGGTCTGGGATGCTATCCGAGAGTCCAGACCGAAACAGGTGGTTTTCTTAGGGAGCCACACCTATAGCCTTCCACCTAAAGGTCTCATCCACAAGGGAGTGGGGCATCGTAAGGAGATGTAGAACCATGGTAGCTAGTGACCAACGATTAGTTCATACGCCATTTGTTTCCCCAGGATTCTGAAGCCCATGTGCATTATTGGTTTGGAATCAGGGTTTCCCAACTCCACTAAGTAAATCCTCCGTATCCACCAACCCGGTTAAAACGTCGGACATTCACATTTCGTCCCCTCAATTTCGTAAACAACACTCCCGCCACGAGAAGGCAGTGAGTTGGACCAAAATACATAAGTGATGCTTTTAAGAAACCCAGGATCGAATACTAGTAAACTACGAATATCTTTTATTCTTAGTGGTTGTGCTTTAGTATTAGGCAATGAGAGGTCGATAGCATTCGATCTGCACAAAAAGGACTTGACACACATGACATTGATCACCACCCAATGATCAATCAATTGTGATTACTTCTCAGTCCTACAGGAGGTCGGTCGCGGCCCGGATAGCCTGGTGGTAACGTCTCTGACTGTGGAGCTGGGCGACACGGGAGCAAATCTGTCAGGGAGCACCAGTTCCCTCAAGATTACAGGTACACCTTGTTGACGAGCGCCAAGTAGCATGAAACCCGGGTCCAGGGTTTTCTGTTGACTACCTCCAACCACCATCTAATCTCAACAGAGGATAAGTGCATATTACTAAGGAATTCCAAAATGCGGTGGAAAACTTTGACTGGATATTATATATTTCACTAGTTAACTGATTAATATTAGTTTGAAATAAATACAACTTATGTTTATACTTGCCATCAATGGTATTTCTAAGATTTCGATTATCCTCTAATAAACCAACATCCATCATACGTTGTCGAACACAATTATACAATTGTGAAATGCCAGAAACTTCAAGTTTAGAAGCTTCTTGAATCATAAAATTGACTCTAAACAAGAAGACAATTACAATCAAATAATATTTACTAGTTTTAGAATATAAATTAACAGCTTTTCCACAAAAAATGGCAATAAAACATCTAGTAAAAGGGCAAATAAAAGTGTGACTTGAACAAACCAGTTTTCTTAAACCTGCTCATATTGATTTTTAACTTTTATTGAAATTCCGCTCAAACATGACTTCCACAATCAAACTAGTTTTCTAATTTGGTCTAATTAAGTTAGTCAGTCAGCTGCAACGTAGGAACAGGCACATATATGCATCGGTCCAAGTTGCCATACCTCATTAGCACAACTAGATGAACACCAAATTCATAGAAGTAGTTACTTTAATGGTAGTAATATATGAGAGAAAGATTTAATATAAGGATGTGATACAGGAAGACGAAATTACATTGTAGAAAGAAAGGTATAAAGTAATCTCATGTTTAAAGGAAGACAAAAAGTACCCTAATTAAGATTGTAGTTATCAGTATGGTATGTGGAGATTGTTAAGTTTTTGATTGAGATCATGAATCGGCTGATGTTAGAGCACCACTAGAAACCCGAAAACACTAGATGACCTCTCTCGCAGGATTCAATCCCAGAAACTTCGTTCTTGCGCGCGAGAACAGTTAACCTCTAGACCACTAAGCCGGCATCCAACGGTGTTAATGTCTAACTTCAACCGATCTATGAAATTGCGCGACCATCTTCCATTGTCTGAGGTAGATTCCTTTCTCTACCTTATACGTATTAGCTCCACTGGTCACGGCTTCTCCGTGTCAGGTACAGACAAGCGTCTACCTCAGACATTGGAAGATGGTCACACAACTTCGTAGATTGGTTGAAGTTAGACATTTACACTGTTGGATTCCGGCTCAGTGGTCTAGACATTTTGCTTCTCTCTCCTCTTCGCTCCGTTTTTCTGATTGTCTGTTCAGATCAACCATTGTATGCAATATACGCATTCAAACTTCATTCTCATATTTGACTTAGTTAATTCCGTTATTCACTAACGCTAGTTAAGTCGATAATAATATAAGAGGATTGATGATATGTATATTTTGACAACAATCTTTCACACCATCCAAATACAGTCAGATATTGGACCATTAAAAGATAACTACCACATCGTTAAGCAAAAGATAGTCACTTTGCAAACTATATTGAAAACTTGAAAGTGATGCATATGATTTTACACAGACGTTCAATATACATATTTTTCTTTGTAGTGCTACCACCGAAGTAGAGTGACCTTATATGGTACACAGACATCAGAAAATTTTTACAAACATCTCTGGAGAAAAATGGATGTTCTATTGAATGACTATAAGTAGGGAGAATCTTCAAATGATAATGTACAAATACCACTGTCTAATAACAATTGGATCAGATAAATGACCACTTGTACTTAATTATTGGCTAACTGATGTGAGGGCGATGGAACTAATGATTGAACCTTTGCCTAGTAAGACCAGTAGATAGTCGGACAGGTATTAGTTGAGTTATATATTTTCCTACCCTTATTATTATTATGATTGTTGTCAGTTATTGGCGTAGGAATGTACTCACGTTCCAGTCAGACCGATCATGTGCTTTTGATCTGAATTGTGTTGACGTCCTGTATAACAGACACTAGGGGAGTATCCAGTATGGATATTCATCTAATCTAAATTAGCGTCCCATTTGTGTGAGAGAGAAAACCGAGCGTTATTTCCCTAACAGAGTAGAGAATAAATAAATAATTAAGGGTCCATCCGTTTGATTTAGCTTCTTTGACGGTGAATTAATTTCATCTGGTCATGACTAGTGTATTTCAATAAAGTCACAAAAAATTCAACAATCCGAATCAAGCAGCTGAATGACGCAACACTAAGGTAGTCTCCCTACTGACAAAATGAAGACAGTAATGTATCAATCTAAGTGTCTCCATTTTCGCACAGTAAATAAAACGACGGAAATTATTAAATTGAACAAAAACGATAAGAGTAGAAGAAATAATGGTAGGACGTAACTTGAATAGCATAATCCAATTTTGTGCGGATTTAATTTCAAAAGTTAATGAAACTCACCTAGACGAGGATGACTTTTTGATGTCCTCGGGTAGCTTATCGTTATCTTCAGATGGCTTTTTGGTGCCATCCGATGACATGTTATCTGTAGGTGTGAAAATTTAAAAAGTAGTAAGTGCCTTTTAACAATAAGACTAAATAAATACAGTCCTCTTTAGGAATAAACCGATGATTTTCCTTTGATAAAAATTTCAAGCAACAAAACAAGAAATAATATTTATGAAAAAATTCCATCCAAATTCATTTAGTTCTGGTCTTTTTACACATGTTGACTCTAGAATAACTGAGTGGACCAGTGTGAAGTAACCTTGTTGAAACTTATCAGATTTACTTATAACATTAAGTGGAACATTACAAAGTGTGTAAAAAGACGACATAATAGTTGTGACGAAATAAAAATAGCAAACGCACTAAGGGCGTTGGCCTACAAAGGAATGAAATCATGATATACTTAGATGATGGAGAAGATTCGTAGCTCAGGTGGATGGTTTGGTCGTGGAGCTTTCATCGTTCTTCTGAACGATATCATCAGCACAAACTTCAGATAGAAGTGAAGTGTTCGAATTCCTCCATAGAGAACAGCTGTACAGAACAAGCTGTGAAACGCATATGGAGAAATTCGAACACTTAACTTCTATCTGAATTTTGTGCTGATGATGTCGTTCAGAAGATCTATGAAAGCTCCACGACCAAACCGTCCAGCTCAGAGAACAAAACTCCATCAAAATCATGATACATTGGATTCACTTTAATATTTATGAAGAACGCTCGAACAAAACAGCACGATGTTTGAATTAACGAATCATTTATGTGAGAGCACGAAATCATAGAGTAATGTCGTATTCCCCTGTAGATCTGACAACCAGAAGTCACGATGATATTTGAGCAATCGATAGAGTTGTTTTCGCAACGAAAATACAAATGCACTGCAACCTAGGATGTGAAACCGTTAGTTTACCATACAGACCGAGATCTTGAGTGCCACCGCTTGAAATCGGCTCCGGCAGCCTACAGTTGTTCAGTCGATTTTCTCTTTACCCTTCAGTTATACTATTATTTCATGGTCTCCATAATTTTGACTTATATTATTTTCGAGCCGTAATCCCTATATTTTTTGTTCTTAATTATTATAGACGTCACGATTTTTCCAGCTTCTCGCAGATGATGAGATATGGCTACGTGAACCAATATGATATCATACCACATCCTACGTTATGACTAAGATTTAGTTCGGCAAGAGGCATGAAAACGTGAAATGAAATTTTTAACGGCAAGTTAGGCAAGCGGCTTGTTTAACATAAATCACATTTGTTTATACATTGTTTGAACCACTGATCAAGCAGGCCTATTGTTAATACAAATACAGATGAACTGAATGATGCCTTCAACTATTTATTTTCTAATATCGAACTAACTGACAAAGTACACGATTACTGAAGCAGAAACAGATTTAGGAGTGAAAGTTGCATTAAATTTCTCGACAGACTGAAACATACCCAAAATGCTACCCTAGGTGACCAACAGCATTTTCATTTTATGAGTCTTCACTTGGTATTTGTCAACCAACAATACGAATGACAGAGGACAGAACTATAGAATAAGAAAGAATCATTTTTACGTGTTACTCTAGTGGTTACTACATCTAATATGTACTAAGTCAGGATCCGTAACTCAGTTTTACTTTGAATCATCAGACAAAACATGTTCCTCATGCAGTGTCTAAGTAATTTTTCATAACCTGATTTTTGAATGTTCCTGATATACAAAAGAATACTGTAGGAAGAAATAATGTGTCGAAAGTTTAGAGAATTTATCTTCAAATGATCCTGGTAGACTCCCATTCTGAGTAACAAAATACACTGCAAAATTCTGAAAGACGGAACTCCACCCCCGTCGTGGATGGAAAAAACTTATTCTCATAGAATATTATTGTAAGTAAGTTGCTATAATCGGACAACCCCAATCCGAAAATTGGACACGAGCATGATTTTAAAAAAGTTGGTGCATTTATCCGTAGCATCTTACCAGATAATCCTACAGGAATTTAATTCAAAAAATTAGTAACAGGTAAGAGGACCGACGAAAATGTTGAACCCTAACCATATGGACCCCTTAAAATAATCATGGGGTGGGAAAAACAACGAGATCTTTTGCTAAATAGTGTTCAAAGTCACAATATCACCGACATTCGAGTAAGACCTGATATGTCTCAAAAAGATATAATAAAAAGGCGGCACTAGTTGAACTAGAAACCTGCCGATAAAGTGGTGAGGAAAATCTCTGTTTAGTGGGTTTTAGAATAGTCAGGACTTGGAAGCGGATGCTACCAAGGTTTGTATGGATAACTCACTCTCTAGGAGTTTTAAATGAAAATGTTTGTAGTCTAAGAAATGAATTCAAAAGACTAGGAGCATCAGTGAACAAATTAAAGCTACTCATTGTAACTGTGACGGAAATCTGATTAGTCCATGACTTCGACGTTACTCTAGAACTATCCGGATACCACTATCTAAGAAGTGATAGGAAGAGATGCAAGGAAGTGTGTGAGGTCTTTGCATACATACTTGATAATATAAATATCCTCTCCTCTGATTGTGAATTCCATGATAGTGGAACTTGTAAAGTCATTAGCTGTGAACTCACTATCGAATGTTGTACATTTATACTCGCTGTCATCTATCGTAGCCCAATCTGTTTAGCTGATGACTTTATTTTAGAGCACTTCAGCTATGAAGTGGAAATATCATATGACTGATATTAGATTTTAATGCACCTGACATTAGTTGGACTTAGAGGACCAACGTAGGATCTGTAAACTCCTTTGATAGTAGGTTCCTGATAACAATAATGGAGCATGTTTAAGTACAGAATGTATCCGAACCCACAGATTTTGACTCAAACCAAGGATTTTTTATGTTAGACTCAGTGATCACTCATAAGACTGAGGATATCGCCAATCTAAATATACTTCCACCATTAACAAGTAGCGATCATGCTATTTTTTCATTAATGTTTAGAGCTTGTGACTCAATATACGATCAGTTTAAAGCTCACCCAAATGTATGGAGAGCAAACATATCAACCATTCACGAATGCGGTGGACAAAACAGACTGGTCATTAGATACTAATTCATCGGTCGAAAAATCATGGTTTATTCTTAAAGGTAAGCTTAATTCAGTTACGTTCTTGTTTACACTATGCTTACTACCACGTAGACCAAATAACTGTCCACTATGGATAACTAAACAGGTCGAGAAACTTCATGGACATAGGAAAAAAAGCATTGGGACATGCTCATCTCTACAGGTTTACAACAGTATAGATGTAGTTATTGTAAGACTAGAAATGCTTGTAATGTGTTGATAAGGAAGAGTAAACAGTTATATGAAGAACAACTGACTAGGGATTGTAAAAATAGTTCGTGAAGTTTATTATCGTATACAAAGTGGCAAACTCAGAGAAGTGATTGAATCTCACCACTTTTGGTAGAAGAAAATCTATTGATACTGGCAAGAGATTATGCCAAAAAGCTGAAACTTTATCAACATATTTCAGTAAAGTGTTTTAGACTAGCAATGAGGAATGAACAACGACGCTTGTCGACGGATCCCGTAGTTATTGTGAAAGGAATGGTCTTAAGATTACTTCATCTCAAATCAGATAAGTCCAGCGATTTTGACGATATTCATCCTAGGATTATGAAAACCTTATCGGATGTAATTGCTGAGACTGAAAAGAAGCAATAATTAGTCCGGTGTATAAGGCGAGGAGTAGAAGATTTATTAGTAACTATCGGCCGTTTAGTTTAACCAGTGCAGTTGTAAAACTAATAGAAAAGATTATTCGGATGGCTGTTATAAATTATGTGGAAGGGTATAATCTTTTATCAAGGGAGCAACATGAATTTCGGGAGGGCCTATCGTGTTTGACAAATCTCATTGCAAGAGAAGATTGGGTTGTGGCAAAAGATCGAAATATTCCTGTATATATGGTTTTCATAGACCTAATTAAAGCCTTTGATAAGGTCTTCCATTCTGATCTTAAATTAACGCTGGAAAGCTTTGAAATCAATTGTAGAGTCATAGACTGGATAAATGACTTTCTTCATGACAGGAGGCTAAAGGGTAAAGGTAAATGGGACTTTCCTATTTTAGGAACGTGTAAGAAGTAGAGTTCCCCAAGGTACAATCCTCGGTTCTCTTCTCTTTTTACTTTATGTAAATGAATTATCAACTGTAACAAAGTCATCCGTCCTACTCTTCGCCGATGACATCAAGATTTGGACACCCATACACCATATGTCAGATAGAATAGTATTACAGAATGATCTCAACTCACTGGTGGCATGAATAGACAAATGGTCACCAGAAGTGAATCTTAACAGGAGTGTGGTGATACGTTTAAATACCTATGATGATTCACATCACTACAAAATATGCGGATTCATGTTACCCGAAGTATAACTATAAAACCTAAAGTCATAAAAGCTGTGAACTCAAAACTACCGGTAACTGTAAGAATGCTTTTGTAAAAAGAATTTTTGGTACTATGTGTTATTTGTAGGCCTTTTCAGTATATGGATGAATAAATGTTTAGATTATTGGACCCGACTATCGTGAGGCCGCATTTAGGATATGGGGTTCAGGCAGCGAGTCCTTGTTTCAAGTGTGAGGCGGATATGTTGGAATGAGTCCAACGACGAGAGACTAAAATAGTAAAGTCTTTCTGGCCTATCTTCATATGAAGACAGAATGAGACACCATAACCTATTTCCGTTATCCTACCGCAGATTAGCTGCACCTTTTTTTGATATATTTAAAACACGCTAGAACCTCCACAAAGTTATAAACTGCAAGGATCAATATAAACCGATAGATCCCTTATTATTACCATTGAAGTTCAAATACTTACCGGAGTGACGCACTAACTTACAAATTGCGCGAAGTGAATGAAATAGTGGTTGAGAAACATTGGAAGTTTGAAGGCTTTGAGAAATATGGCTTAAAATGATGACCTTACGATCTCACGATAAAACAAAAGCTTATCAAGACATGTATAAACAACGGTTTTTGTAACAACAAAAATAAATCCAATATTTCATCTAATATATTTGACTACATTCATAAAGAATTCAGATTCAGATTCAGATTTGTGTAGTAAGGACAGAAGGCCTACGGCCTATGTTATTCCTTTTCTAGTATGCTTCTGTGAGTGTCCATTCTTCTCTTGAAAGAGTCAGTTGAAGGTGCGGACACCACTGCTTCAGGCAGCAGGTTCCAAGTATTGATGACTCGGTGTGAAAACCTGTATGCCACGGGTATTTTGTTCGTTCTTGGCTTTTCTACTCGCCTGCTATATCCTCTAAGGTGTCCCGATCCAGTGATGAGCGCTGGTTTCAAAAAGGGCAGTGATTTTTGTACTTGTTGTGATTATACTTGCTTTGGGCACTTATTGCACTAAAAAACATTCTTGGTGTACTTTAACTAAGAGTACTTTGGTTAAAGTTTAAAATTTTTTACTAAATTGTGTCCTGAGTTTTCCCCATCTTTTAAAACTAACATTAATTATTAACTGATTAATGCTCATGCTACTGTCGCTATTCAAACAAACTCTGTCTTAGTCATCTAATCTGCCCTAATGTCCACAGACTGTAGTTGATGATTATGTTTTATTTCATTCTTTTAAGGTTTTCTAAACTACGTTGAAGCTTGCGCTCGGATGGCTGTTCGGCAGCGCTATCGAATTTATATTGCATGACAGTTCTTTGCTGCCACCACGCACAAAGGAACACTTGTTAATCAAGTGAACTCATTTGTAGTTGTAATCCAAGAAGGAGCTTACAAGTAATATTCATTTCATAACAATTGTTGCCGTTTTTGTTTTCCTTGTTCAGTGTAGCAGCGAATAAATCCATAAAACAAACGGTTATGTAATTCTTCAACATTAGTGCTAACCTCACCAATTTTGCTGGACACACCTTAGCAGTAGACGACCGGTCTCGCGTATGCACAAGATCACGAGTGAGAATCCCATGCTACGCATCACTTGCAGTTACTAACCAGTTTAGACCAGACGTTTCTCGACACGTCTATAACTTTCCAAATATAGCGTCAAACTCCATTGTCGACGTATGACTTGACTAGGTAGGTATTATGTGGTAATGAAAGTGTTTCGGACAAAAGCGTCGTCAAACATTGGTTATCAATGGCATCTTCAGTAGTAAGCCTGATGTGATCTTGTTCACCAAACAGTGAAGTAAGCGTCTGTTCATTATTTTAACAAGCATTATTTCTTTTTTTGTTTTTTTCAGGGATAATACTTTTGTCCTGTCGAATTTTTTTCAATTGCTATCCTCAGTAATACGGAACACCTAAACTGTACGAGATTAAGACTCTTACACCCCCACCTCTCCACTGATGCCATTCTGTCCCGACAAAGTAGAGGCCTGATTGTTCTGTTCAGCAAAGAGTTGGCCACATACATCCTAGTAATGGCAGAACATTAAAGCTCAAGTGCTCACTCAATTCCTTACTTAGCATTGGCATCATATTTCCTATTACTTCATCTTAGGTGTTGAAAAACGTTGTATTTCAAAGAGATAACTTCGAACCCCATTTGTCCTGTTCATTGATCATAAGAAAACCCATGCTCACTGCTACTTTGGTTTTTTCTTTTGACATGACTAGGCTTGCCCAACAGCACAGAACACTCAAGCTTCCACGTAATGGAATTTTTTTTCTAAACTACGAGCATTTGTATATAATACTCCCAAAGTAAACATCCTACCCATAAAGCCTAGGTAACATTTGCTTTCGTGGCGTGACTATGCAATAGCACACTAAGCAGAATTTTTCACTTGTATTTCTACGCGTTTCTAGTTTACCTAGCGCCTCTCTCCCTCACATCCCCAATCTTGAGAAATGTTCGGTATTACACAAGTGTTGATGTTATTGTGACACCGAGCAATATTTAAAAAAATATTTATTTGTTCCATCGACTCCATTGTTATCTTAAGAAGTCAATATGGTCGACGTTCAAAACTCTTGAGAGCCTCCTCACCTGTTCTTATCAAGTTGTTGACATGAACTCCTGCAGAATTGTCTGGTAATATCTTACGAGTAAAGACACCGATCTCTTCCAGATGATGCGCGTGTCTAATGTTTGCATCAGGATCGTTTGGTTACAGCAACTTAATTACAATAATATTCAATGAGATTGAGCTTCTTCCAGTCATTTCATGGCTAAATATAGTCTTATTTTCGGAATTTAGTGGAGTATCCTATCACTCGGGATAAAAGACTATCTAAAACATATCGACCAAACTGGCGCTGTTTTAGGCCTTTCTCATCCCCTTCTTCGCTTCCACACTATCCATTTTATTAATTGCGACAGCTACACTGCAACTATTTAGAACTCCGACATTCATACCCAGATATTCAGTTCCTACCTTAAAATCGTTACCATCAATATTCAGTGTAATATCACACTTTGTATGTTTCAAAACATATTTCTCTTTTTCATGTTTCAAAGTTGAATGTTTGGCTCGCCTCATAACAGCATGTGCTACACTAACAAATTCTTCACAGTTGTAAGTGCAGCCACTATTATCTTTCTTGCTTGCGAACCCCAGAAGTCTCATCGCCTCCCGGATCAGTAACGTCTTACACGAGCGGCAGAATATACAAACCCAACCAGAGTTAGTAGTCACGGGTATTTTTCATGCGGTAAGACCTAAGCTTGCAAAAATCTTGTGTAACCACCTTTTACATTCATTACATTGTATTCCATCCTCCATCGAGAAAAATTAATTTTAGCGTTTGATCTTAGATGTCTAGCAAGTGTTGGGGACACGTAACACAGCGTATCTACTTGTGATTTAGTGCGGATGTGTGAACGAGCGCCTTCAGTTATGATGTGTCCATTAAAACTGATGAGACCACCATAAAACACTTAAGACTTGCAAAACTATTTATTTTAAGCATATATTATTATTTTTATTATGATTATGTATCGCTTCTGATGCTTCAAGGTGCGTAAAACATTGATAAGGCTGCGTGGCTGAAAATTTTATCTCTTTTATTGAAACATCCAAAAGTGATCTTAATAAGTTATTGACTTACTGAATTTGCATAACTGTGATACAACTGGGTATCATAAACAACATACACTATACAAAATATGGAGACGTTCGGTTCAGACAATACCTGTAACACTTATTCATAAGTGATATTCCAGCTGATCAACATCCTGAATAGAAAACCAAAACAATTTTATCTGCTCTTCATACGGAAAGTCGAGGCTGTAAATAAATAGAAAAGTCCAGTAATATAACTACTTGATCACAAGTAATCATTACATTTTGTGATATCACGATGAGTAGAAAGAAATATATTTAACCGTCTCATCAATGCTCACTTTATCTGAAAATATCAAGTCCAATCTTGATATTGGTACCTATTTGATCATTATTTCTTCCCAAGTATGATTTGTGCTTAGAGTTGAACTAGATATAGAATAGTAAGTGGAAGAGGTTAAAACAGTTGATGACGTGTCCGTTTCCACTAAGGTAGTAACATTACGTGTCAAATAAGGTAATTGTGAGGACGACATACGGGTTGACTCGAGGAAGCTTCTAAAGAGCCAAAGATATTCTATCCAATCATCTTGTGTAGGAACATTACCGAATCTCAACGTGTAACCGCCCTATTGGGAAAATGCTAAAAACCACTGTATGCCGATTGGGTGGCTACAATGATGATTTCGCTTTTACCCAAAACTATAAATACCTGAGAGTTTTGTGCCATATTGGACACCGAAATAACATTCCACCTCATTTGTGACTTGGAGGGTTCTAGCATTCGGCTGTTCATGTGGTACGCGATATATCAAGAATCTAAGATCTAGATATAACAATAATTCAAGAAATACCTGTTACTGAGTTCTACAACGTAGTCATACGGTGGGCTAATTTGGATTCGCCAAATAAGGCCACCTTGTGCGAGTCAAAAATTTAATAACAAGTGGATTTAGTCGGCCAAGAAACTATTTCGTCTTCCAAAGGATATAACCACTTATACGTATTAGTCGGTTTAGCCCAATAAACTCTCTTCATCACTCAGTAGCGGATTGGGGGCTTGAGTATCGGTATCAGTCTGAAACAAAGCCGACCAAAATCGAGTCATGAGTCTCTATATCCCATAATGCCATAGGACTAATAAAGGTGCGTGGATTCATCTATTTTCGAAAATAATGTGCATTTTCTATCCGATTTTCCATGTATCAAATGGTTCTTTATATCGCATTATTCTTTACTATGGCTTAGATAACCTTAAATTACTTCTTCATTATGATTGGTTAATGAGTGTGTTTTCTAATGAACAAATTTAACAAGAAAACTTGCACAGTCGACTACTTTTATGAATTCAATACCAACTCTATAGTTGGAGTGATGATTTACAAAAAGTGAGAGGTCGTTAGAAGTTTGAAGCAAAAGACATTCGATACAAGTCCCATCTTAACATCGATGCTGGGGTGAATGGAGCATCGTCGAGGAGTCATGTATAAAGTGAAACACGTGCCTCGAATTCCGCTAATATACACTACTCAACTTGTGACTTTATGTCGATATCGAGGTTATCTGCTCAGGCGTCACATGTGCAAAAAGAGACCAACCAATAGTTCATAATAGTAACAGAAAGATTAGAATGCTATTATAATTATTCGAAACACTTCAATTCAATATAAGCAAACTAATTTAAAGGCAGAATGAATTTAATCCATAATTTGTTAAAATTGAAAACTCCAACATATGTAGGAAACATAGAAAGATTAATTGAAAAACAATAACTTAGTATACACATACAAACAGTATTTTGGCGCGAAAAGGAAAGAAGACTGCAAGATTTTGAGCATGAGCCAAGAAAATCATATCAATTGCTCTATTGGAAATGATCTTTAACTATCATCATCGTCAGTCTCATGATCCTCCTCATCGTCATCAGACAATTCACCACCTATATGTTTGATACGATTACTATGAGCAAGTTTAATATTCATTCTTTTCGATGGATCTTTAGTTAATTTCGACTGTAATACGCCTAATTTGGCTAAATGCCATTCTAATTCTGTGAAGAAAAAAAAACACGAAATATGAAGAGGGAAATAAGATTGGATGAGTTATTAGAATATATTGTAGACTAATATCATTTGTAAAATAAAAATCATCTACAGAAATTTTAGTTAAAACGAAATAATGAATATTGGTTAATTCACCAACAATGAGATAAATAGAAACTTTGAAACAGTAGTATAAGAGCGTTTTCGATTATCATTAGCAGTCGTAGCTTTCAGCAACGAACGAGTAACTACTAAATATTAGTAATTCTTAGGAAACTATGATGACCAAATAAACAGAACTGACGAACATCCTCGACCTCAAAAGACGAAGTCTCACAACCTTAGAGCAAAACTGCTCTCATCAATGCGTTGTACACCCAACATTATACAGCCCAAATCCTATCATAACGACGCTAAAGTAGCTCAGAATTGCATAGGCCGCTCAGCCTTTCACGATACACAAAATGATCTAGTCACTCACACCACCACACACACAGGTGTCAGTACCAGGAAAAGATTCCAACAGTGTTGTTGAACCGGACGAAAGACTCAGTAGACACTCAACTTCAAGGTTATCAGGCTAAATTCCGTAAGGATCGGTCGTGCACAGACCCAATCGCGACACTACGAATCATCATCGAACAATCAGCTGAATGGAACACGTCACTATACATCAACTTCATTGACTATGAGTAGGTGTTTGATATTGTGGATAGGAGAACATTATGGAAACTTCTTCGACACTATGGTGTATCTGAGATTTCAAACATCATGAGGAGTACATACGACGGACTAAAGTGTAGAAGGACAGCCGATGGACGCACCCCAACTAAGGACCGGAGTCAGATAAGGCTGCTTCCTTTCTCCCTTTTCTGGTGGTTGACTGGATTATGAAGACCTCGATATTTGAGGGGAGGCGCGGAATACAACGGACAACTAAGAATCAATTAGAAGATTTGGACTTCGCAGATGACCTGACTCCTCTATACTGATGCATGTGCGAGGAAGCTAAGAATTGGTTATTTGTTTAGTCAGACCAATAGATATCCTGGCATGTGTTAGATGAGTTATATATTCTTCTACCGGTATTATTACTGCATTGCTGTCGGCTTATGGTGTAGAAATATACTTACGTTCTAGTCACGTGTTCTTGACCTGAGTTGTGCTGAAGTCCTGTAAAACAAACACTGGGAGGGTATCTAGTGTAGATATTCATCTAAGGCAAAGTAGCGTCCCATTAGTGCAGACGAGGAAGACCGAACGCTATAACACATACCATACACACGAACAAATGCAAGTCAATGCAACCAGTGTAGCAGAAACCTCTGCATCAGTACACCTCAACGTACACAAGGGAAAAGCACGATAATCAAGCACATCACGAAGAACACCAACCCAATCACACTTGATAGAGAAACTCGGGAATAGGTAGAAACTTCCACGCATCATCGCTGAACAAAGAGGATTTGATGCGGACGTAAAGGCGAGGATTGGCAAAGCAAAGAAAGCATTCCTACAGTTGAATAACATATAGAACGCAAAACGACTGTCAACCAATATCAAAGTCAGAATCCTCAATACGAACACAAAAACAGTTTAACTGTACGAAGTTGAAACTCGGGGGACTACTAAAACCAGCAATAAAAAGACACAAGTCTTTCTAAACAGTTGTCTACATAAGACACTCAATGCCCATAGGTTATACATCATTAGCAACAGCCAACTGTGGGAGAGGACGAACCAGCTTCCATCTGAAGAGGAAATTAAGAAAAGATGTTTGAATTGGGTAGGACATACATCGCGAGAAGTATCAAACTGCATCACAACGCAAGCTCTTACTTGGAATCCTAAAAAGAGACAGAAAAGAGGAAAGCTGAAGATCACACTACGTTCAAATTTTCAGGAGCTTAATTTTTACCGCGAGATTCACTTTTTGATCTAGAATATGCCAATGACATAGTTCTTTTTGGTGAAGACGCTAACAAAATGCAGAGTCTTCTGATCACTCTGAACAACAATGCAAGCATGTTCGGGATGCGATTCTCCCACCTCAAAATGAAGAATGTTGCTTCAGGATTGGGTTGCATCGACACCCGAACTGACGATAGGGAGTGAAGTTGTTGAGTGTGTCGATCGCTTCACTGATCTTGGAAGTCTCGTCAGCCCTTGTGGTCTGGTGTGTGACGAAATCATAGCATGGATACAGAAGGCTCGACTAGCTTTTGCCAACTTGCGTCATTTATGGCGTAGGCGAGATATCCGTCTATCAACCAAAGGACGGGTTTACTGCGCAGCAGTTCGTTCCGTCCTTCTTTATGGCAGTGAAACATGGCCGGCAAGAGTAGAGGATACTCGTAAGTTACAAATATTTGATCATAGGTGTCTTCGAAACATTGTTTGTATATCCTCTGACAACCGGATAAGTAACGCAGTTGTTAGGAAACGGGTATTAGGTAAGGATCGCAAATCAATTGATGTAGTGAAACTTCATCAGTTGAGATGGCTGGGACACGTGTTACGTGTGCCCAACCACCGACTACCTCGACGTGCGTTCTTACATGGTGTATGAGTGGGTTGGGAGAAAGCTAGGGTCGGGCAGAATAAAACATGACACAAGTCCATGAAGTCATTGACAAGTGGACTGAGCTATGCTCGTAGGTGTAGACTACCTGGTTGGGATCCACAAGACGATGGCAACCGATGGTTAGAGACCTTGAATGACATGGCTCAAAATCATTCGCAATGACGCAGATGTATCCACTATTTGTGTTCTCGCAAACTCTAAACTTCTGTATTCTTTATGTCCCATTTCTTTTTCTCTTTCCAAATTTATTTCACTGTATTATACTCACTGAATAGCATCTTCAGACTCTGATCTTTCCGATTACTGCTTATACTCTTACTAGTTCTACCACTACGGGATTTGAACCGACAGTTGCATCTTTGTGCTGATGTGGTATGGCAGCTCGAACTGATGTACGTACGTACGAAGTTCTACGTTGTGACTGACTGACACTACGTCGGCAATCGGAAGCAGAC